GCTGGGGCCCCTCCTCCCCAGCCCTGAAGCCCACGGGCAGCTTGGCAGCGCAGCGTGACCAGCCTTGCTGTGGGTGCGTGGCACGTCCCTCTGCTCACTTGGCTCTCATGAGGTCCTGGTCCTTCAGCGCAGAGCCCTGGAGGTAGATCACACGCTGCGACCACAGAGGGATCTGCAGGACCCGTCGCACCTGGATATCCATCTCTGTTGGGCAAAGTATCACCACGTAGTAATCCTGCAAGAGAGAGGCTGGCGGGGGGCGGCGGGGCGGGCGGCCCTTCCGCAGCGAGCCAAGACACGGGATTTTGCTGCCTGAGCAAATAGCTCTTTTGGGGCTTTTGATATTTGCTCCCCGTGTGTAACACGCCCTGTCCCTGCTCTAGGGTCTTGCACGGGTCTTGGAAAACGCATCAGCATCTTCTCCACCCCATTCTGCATAACAAAGCCAGGCACAGCTGACTATGGAACTAGGAAGGAGCTGCACACCCAAAGCAAAGCGGAGCCTCTTGCAGTTATAGAAATGAGCAGGATTTTAAAGCTTGAACGCATGGAATCAAGGCTGGGCGATGGTAACGAAGCGTATGTGAGTGTTGGAATGAAATGCAAATCTGAAACACATCTGGGATGCTCTCGTCCTGGGGAGATGAAAGGCACAGTCATTTGCAGGAAGGTCACTTATTATGTGGGGATACTCCAGTAAGAGCTGGCTAAATCTCACCGAGGTTTAGCAATTACGTGTTCTGTTTCTGTCTGAGATTCTTCATTCAGCAAAGATATCGTAACACTTAGAAAACTCCCTCTGTCCCTCTCCACGCACTTGCACAGGGCTGTAACAGGTCTGGCCATAAACCGGGGTGGATCAGGCAGAGCGAGCCCCACCACGGAGATGCCAAAGGGAGGTGGCCCTGGGGTACCACTTGTCACCTCTGCTTGGTGACACGCTTCCCGGTGCAGGGCTGGATGGGTTTTGCCTTATTCTTTGCCACATCCACTGCGGCTGGGCAGGGCACCAGCAGCGCCCCGGCCGTGCCCAGCAAGGCCGCGAGCCTGGCAAGGGCAAGCGTTGACCGAGCACAGTGTGGCAACATGCCGGTCCTCACCTGCAGGCGTGGGTGGGCGTAAAACTCGTTGAGGAAGTCCATGAGGAGATCAATCTTGAGAGAGCTGACACAAAGGACGACGTGTTTCTCTGTCTGGGCACGGTGACGGCTGTAATTGCCTCCTGACTTCTGCCGCTCCATCCACAGGTAAACGAGCTCCTCGAACTGCAAACGAGAGCAGAGAGCTGATGTCCCCATCGGCAGGGCTGCCCGGGCGCAGGCTCTGCGTCCCTCTCCATCCTCAGCTGCGCAGGTCTAACCTGGAGTGGCAGCACAACCAGGGCGACGCAAATCATTATCACGACGAGGAGCTGGGAAGGCCAGATCTTTGGTGTCACGTCTCCATAGCCCACGGTGGAAAAGGTGACGATGCAGAAATAGAAGGACTTGAAGAGGGAGAGCTTCTCGCCTGCTCTTTCTAAATGCTGGATGCCACAGGTCCTGCAGGGAGAAAGCACACATCACAGCGAGTGTTTCCCTGCACGGGAGACAGGCAGTGCCCGTAGCGCCTGCTGAAGTCAGTGGGGAACCCTAGAAGGTGACTTACACCCATGTCCGTGGAGGAAATTTGTCTGTAACACGCTGTCAGCATCAGCAGTGGATTTATGTCACCAACAGAAATGATTCAGCTAACAGATGAAGGAGTTAGTTTGATGTGGTTGCTCACCAAAGCAGCATGAGGCAGTCTAGGTCCTGGGTGATGGGTGACGATAAGACCATGCCATGGACAGCATGTTGGACATCACCCCGGGGCTGCCCTTGCATTGCAAAAAACCAGCATGTGGAAGCAAGCAGCTGTGCCAGCGGGGCTCTGGAGCGACTCAGCCCACGAGAAGGTCTCTCAGTTACAGGGGGATGTGCTCTGCAGGCAGGAGGCAGGTCCCCTTGCCCGCTCCCGCCTGTGCCGCTGCCCCTGCAGAGCCATGCCGCGGAGCCACCTCGCTCCCTGCGGTTAGGCGGGCGGCGTAATTCCACAAACCCACAGGTTCAAAGTCATCTTGCTTAACACCAGTGTCACCTAAGTTGTCCTGGACCCGAATTGCAGCCCTGCCGCATCCGTCAGGAAACACGTCCACGGCCCCAGCGGGTGGGGGGTGCCGGGGGCGGGGAGCACTGATGAGCTCCGAAATTGCATTAGTCATTCACATCAGAGGATCATCTTTATTGCCAAAGACTCATGGGCCTAAAAGCCTCATTTCCTGTCCATTCAGCAACTTAATTGGTATTATGTGCTTCAAATCCAGACCAAGGGAGCCAGAGGAAAATTCAAGAAGCCTAATTCAAAGCTAAGTACCCAGCGATGAGAAGTGGCTCCGTTATAAAGCAATGCCCTTGTTGATGGCAACGCGCGGGGTAAAGGGCCCAGTTAATTAGCAGAACCCCCAGTGGCTCGTTACACAAACAAGCTCAGCAGCCATGGTAACCTGGTGAGGAGGAAGAGCGCGGTGGGAGCCAGCGGGTGCAAAGGGTCCTGGTGCTGAAGGAGCCGTCGCACGCGCCCCAGCCCGTGTCCCCACGGGACGCTGCTGTCCCTGCCCGTGGCTCCGTGACGCTCACAGCCCAGCCCTGCCCCGAGACTCCTGTCCGCATCACCCATCTCCCTGCGACAATGCCCTCATCCTCACACGCTCCCATTAAAAAGTTTTTTTGTTAAAATCAGATAATTAGAGAGGATAATTAGTTTCTAAAATAGGAATTGCTCTTCCCAGCGTTCAGCGCGCTGGGGAACGGAGCCGGGAGGAGCCCGGCGCTGGGGGCTGGTGGTGCAGGGTCCTCCCGTAGCTCCAGCAGACGTGGCTGTGCCCAAGCCAAAGCCCGCGGCCAGGAGCGGACACCTGGGGCGCACCCCTGGCCATGGCTCCCCCAGCTCCACAGCTCAGCCCGAGGAACTGGGACTTGTCCCGTTAGCGAAGGAAGGATGCCAGAGGCTTGGGACTTCAATCTAATCAGCGGCCTTGAATAATTATGCTTTCCTCAGCATAAGCCTCTCAGGCTGAAAAATCAGGCTAGAAGACCCTGCCTAGAGGCAGAACCCCCTCTGGGTTCCCAAGTCCCTCCGTTACATCCTGGCAATGCCATCCCACCACAGCTGGGACGGTGCCCCCCAACCCCCCCGGAAGCCCTGCCAGAGCCCGGCTCTGCCGGTCACCCCTGGGACGTGCAAAGCTGGTTTCCCAGGATGAAGAAGATGGTTCAGTGAATTGAAGAGCAACACTCACCCCGTGAAAACGAGACACAGGAGGGTGCAGATCAGAATGAGCACCTGGTTAAACATCGCAGACTGGGTCCTTTGTATGGCTCGGTGCAGGTCGTTCTGGGGAGAGAGGAGAAGGCTCTCACCAGCTCAGAGAGGCGGAGGGTAAAGCACTCCTCCAAGTACCGACTGCTCCAGCAATGCTCCCCCCAGATGAAGGTCAGGCCAGAATTTGGCCCTTGAGAAGGGCTGTGCATTTCTGTGAGCAGGGCTGAGCTCTGCTGCCGGGAGAGACAGCTCGAGTGGGAGCTCAGGTCCGCAGCCCAGCACCGCCAGCTGGCAAAGCCTCACCTCCCACCGACCCCGGCACGGCTGCACGCACCGAGCACTGAAAACCTGCCCTCGGCATCCCCGGGGCAGAGGAGCCGGGCGAAAGGGGTGGGATGGGACCAGTCACTCACAATCATGTTCTCCAGGGCGTACTTGGCAAGCCAGCAGTTCAGAAACACGGGAATGAACAAATTCCGCAAAGGAGGCCAGAATATCTATGAAAGCAAGAGTTACTCGCAGAAAAATCCACGTTGTCTGTCATAAAAAGCTATAACCAGCCAATTCGAGCCCTGTTGAGAAGGGCTCCGTCTCCAAACTAAGCGCTGGCCTCTGCAGAGGCGGCACTGAAAGCAGCTCCCTCCCCCGGCTGCAGTGGGGCAGCTGAAAACAGAGGATGCTTTCTGGGATAACACTCCAGAGAAAGTCATTGTGTTGAAAAATATTGAAGAAAAAAATTTTCTGCCAGCTTTAAATACTACTTGGCCAGACATCCATTTTTTTTTCTTTATTTCACCACCAAAACTACAGTACTTATTAAACTTAAAGCTGTTTTAAAATGTCACTGGGAAACACTCACTGTGATAATAAATGGCACCGTGTTAATCATCTCAAGGATGAACGAAATGCGAAAAATCTGTTCCCAGATGTTCCCCTGAGGAATTAAAAACAATAATAATTAAGTAAGCTTAAAAATCGACCCCAGGACAACTGAAAAGCTCCCGCTCTGCCACAGCCCCTGCTAGATGGGGGAAGTTCGCCAGAGCAGCCCGAAAGACGCTTCGGTGGCAGACACGCCGGAGTGGGTCAAACCTTCCCAAACTGTTCAGTCCTTTCCACAGCCACCACGTCCCTCTGTCCGTCGCTGGTGCTGCCCAAAGCCAGGGGACAACAACGCCTTGTGCAAGGACGGGCAACAAGAGTGACCGGCACGGCTCGGTGGCACTCCAACCGGGCGGGTGACGCAGGGGCTGAGTCTCTTCTGCCGACTGTCCCAGGGACCCCGAGAAGATGCCATTTGTTAAAGTCACTTTTCTTGGCCATTTTAAGGGGTTTTGGTCCAAAGGAGTCAGCTTGTGCCTCTCCCTGCCTGGCTTGGAGCAGTGCCTGCTACCTCCGGAGGCAGCAGACCTCGGCACAAGCAGGAGTCGTGCTGCCGAGCTCAGCTCCAGGTCCTCAGCCTCAGGAAACTGCCTCCCCCCCCCAAAGAAAAGCGGTGACCTTTTGTAAAACAGGTTTTGAATGTAAAGGAAGGTGGAAAAAGAAGAGATGCCCCAGGTGTGCTCTGCCAAACACTCATCCAGCAGCCCGGGGGGAATGAGAAGGGACAACAGCCAGCTCAGACACCGCCGAGACAAACATCCTCTCAGGATGCTTCAGGCTTCAGACAGCTCAAAGAAATGAATTCACGGCGGGGGGGGTCGGACCCAGACTGCGCATCACTGTCCACCGCCCGCCCCGGGGCACCTACCTTGTAGCTGAGATAGATGAGCAGCATGGTCTCCAGGAAGCTGATTAACGCTATGCTGACCTGCGGAGACAGACAGACAGACAGACAGACAGACAGACAGACGAGGGCTGCTGAGGG